GAGGCACGCTCTTAACAAGCGTGGCAGAGCAAAAGAAGTGCATCACACACTTACCCAAAGGAGTGGCGTGCAGGCTGCGTTCGGTTTGTTTTATCGGGCGACTGCGTGGCTTTTCTTCCATTTCATTCTGGTGTTTCGAGGATGGGGAAGACTAACGATCTGTGAGGAGTTTTCTCTCCGTGTTTCTGTTCTGTTCTTTCCCTTGTGGCCAGGGAAGGCGACTTAAAGGTGATGATCGACGGGACGGAGGAGGTTCACGTAAGATTGAGGGGAAATGGAGTGTAACGAATTGGTAAGTCACTATTGCAAATCTTCACTGTATGAGAAATTGATGTTGGTGGATATCTTGATCTGAATTCATCTATGCTAAGCTTAAGCATGCCAACCACTAAAAACGCCCATGGGGATATCTCTCTGGCCCTTTGCGAACACTCTTCTTTCCTATGCAAACCCGTAACCATTTGCCCTTGCCACCTCCTTACTGGTAGTGACCCTTGTGATCACCGACACCAGGCCGCGCCACACCGTCATCCACGTAACCCGGGAGCTGCTCCTCGCGGCTCAGACCACCCGAGGCGACGGGGCCACCCTGGCCGGGAGGGTGCGAACCTAGCGGGCCGCCGGCATCTTGATGGCCGTACTGCTGCTGCTGAGCATAGGCCGGCTGCTGCTGGTGAGGGGGGATCGACCCGGGCGGGGCCTGCTGGCCGGGCGTCGCCTGGGGCAGGTGGACCTCGGGGAGAGCCTGCTGCTGCTCCGCGGTGCGGAGGGCCTCGTAAAGCGGGTGGGCGCCGGCGGGCCACATGCCGTTGGGACCCTGGGGCGGCACCTGGCCCTTGACGATCTGGTCCACGGTGACCTTTTGTCCGTAGAACGCGGCGTTGGCGTCCTTGCGCTCCGTGACGACGGTGCCGTCGACCTGGATGCCGGCGTAGAAGCCGCGGGACTTGACGTAGGAGAAGACGGGCTTGAGCGAGGTGCTGCTGCTCCTGCGCTTCTTGTCCTTCTCGTCGGGCTTGAGCTTGCCGTCCTCGCCGGGTTTTGCGTCCGTGACGTGGTCGTTTGCGTTCTTGTCCTTGGGGTCGGGGTTCTTGCCGCCAAAAGAGGCGCCGACGTCCATGACGCCTCCGGCGCCGTAGGGGCCGGCCACGACGGCGACGTCAGGGCCGAGACTGACGCGGGTGGACATGAAGGCGGCGAGGGCGGCGGGGCTGTTGATGACGCAGACGCAGTCGTAGATGTCGACGCCGATCATGAAGCCGGCGCCGAGGGCGTGGACCTGGATGCCCGAGGGCGGGGACCAGGAGCCGTCGGGGAGGCGGGCAATGAGGATGCCGGAGCCGGTTGCGCCGGAGAACTGGAAGCCTACGCGGGCGGTGGTGAAGATGGCGAGGCCGACGGCCTTGTTGATGACCTTTGAGGGGATCTTGACGATGGCTTTGGGTTCCTTGCGCGCCTTTTCCTTGTTGGGCGTCGTGGGGCGCGAGCCGGTCGCTTCGGCGTGCTTGCCGGGCTCGAGGTGCTCGCCCGTCTGTGGGGGTACGTCGGATGTGATTCCCTCCTCTGTGAAATTGTGTGTTAGCCGAGTGCTCGATGGGGTTGTTTATGGTTGGGAGCGTGGTTTGAGGGGACTTACTGCAGAAGCTCTTGAGGATCTTGGCCGCCTTGTCGCACTCTCTATCCATGGTGGTGGGCAGGAAGCTCTGCGAGCCCATCTTATTGGCAAGGGCGTTGATGGGCACAGCGGCCTTCATGCCCATCTGGGAGAGGCGCTCACCCCATCCGCGCTTCTCCTTGTGGTTGGGATCGGTAGCGGGCGCGATGTAGGCAGCGTGTGCGGCAGCCGGGTCGGTGTAAGGACCGCTCTGAGCGTGGCTCGGTGCTGCCGTGCCCGGAGGTCCCTCGAACTGCTGTTGTGAGTAGTGGTGGCCGGCGCCGTGGTCTGCGGGATTGTAAGGAGCTTGCTGGCTCGGCGTCTGTGCGTACGACTGCTGCTGGGGAACGGAGCTGCCGGCGGCGTATTGTTGCTGCTGCTGCTGGGGAGCATGTGTGAACTGCGGCTGGTTGGCGGGGGGAGGGCCCGGGGGCGGAGGAGGGAAGTGTTGCTGCTCGTGGCCGGGGCCGGCGGCGCTCTTCTGGTCCGGGTTGTACTGCTGCTGCTCATGGCCGGAGGTGTACTGGGGAGGCTGCTGTTGGTTGTTGTCGCCGGTGGGAGGGGGAGGGTAGAGCTGCTGCTCCGGTTGGATGGGAGGCTTCTCTGGGTTGGTTCCAGACATGATTAGAGGTGTCTTTCTGTCGATGACCGATTAGATTCGAGATGATGAAATTAAGAACGTCGAAGTAGCAATGCAAGAAGGCGATGCAATTGCTTTAGCTGGCAGCTTTGGAAATGAGGGGTATCTTGAGATGGTAGTATGAAGGAGAAAAAGTGAACCGACGAGGAGAGAATCGCTGTGCGTTTGTTCCTTTTGTAGGTCTGGTGTTTGATGGAGCTTTACGGCAAGACCGATGGAAGTTTAATGAATTCTGCTGGGCGTAATGTGGCGTATACTGTCGTCAACGTGGATATCGTAGGCGTGTGAGGCTGAGCTCCTGGTAGCTTGTGGTCCAGAAAACGGGGTCAGGTGTAGATATTCTGCAGAGAGGCCTCTCAATGCAGATAGGGGAGAGTCATGTCATCGTTTGCCAGCTCACCACCACCAAGCCAAGCAGCAACAGCTCATACCTTGCACAGCGTGGGCGCCGTACGGGAGGGGAAACTTGGAGGGGCACGGCACCGGGGACACCAGGAAACGTCATGATGTGGCTGATGCACAGGGATGGCGGGAACCGACGGCACCGCTGCGGCAGAGGCGTGTGGCTGCGCAATTGGCTAACACAGAGCGCCGGGGCCGACATTCCGACTCCTTACCAAAGATCTTTTTGATCGTATCCGTATTACCTAATACACTCCCGCTCAAGTCACCTTACCTAAGCAGATACAGAGGTAGACGACCGTGGGTACTTCCTCACCTTACGTAAGTGTAATGGTGCCCACGCCGTATTACCTAAGCAGTGCTAGGGCATGGGAGGCGTGGGAGGTCTCCATCTTTCTCTCTCTCTCCCCCACCTCTTTTTCCCCAACGACCCAACCTTATTCCCCAGCGGATGCGGGTACACACCCGGACACCATTGCCACGATCGCCAAGCTGTCACCTCGGTCGAATTTGAATTCGTTTGACAGCTTCGCATTCGCGATGACGGCCAAACTTACACTTGTTGCAACCTCTGACGTATCGGCCCTGCTGTCGTCATGCTAGAGGATATGCGCAGAAGATGATTATCTGCCAGTTTGATACCAACCAAGCCAAACGAAAAAGGAAGCGGGGGGATACGAGTGACTAAATAAGCTGTCAATTGTCCGGACCTCGACGGACTTGGCCTTTTCGGCGAAAGAGATGCCTACCCACCAGTACCGTTGGATTGATTAGTCGGGAATCAACACTCGGTGATCGGACCCCGAACCACCATGGCCATTCCTGTTCCCGTTCTCGCCATGTCATTCCGTTGCAACATTGCGACAGTCGAGAAGCTTCCAACGCGAAGCTTATTAGACGACATGCTCGGTTTTTATGACATGTCGTTGCGTTTCCAGTTCGCACCGCCGGTTAATTAATCAGGCTGGTATCACCAGGGTGAGATGCGGAAATGTGGTTGACTGGTCTCGGACCGGACCTCGCCAAGAGTGGGAATCCCGGACGTCTCCCAACCTGTCCGTCGACGTGGGAACTAGAAACGCGAACACAGGCACAGAGGGCAACCTGACACCGAGTCCCGTCTTACCAACGACCGGGCTATTGACACGAAAATAAGAAAGGGCTGACAATCAGCCACCAGAGAGTGATCCCGACGCCCTCCAACTCCGAATCACGCGCGTCAAATCCCCAACTACAAGCAAACTTTGGGAGGAAACAGAGCAGAGACGCCCCTGCCCTGCCTCGTCTCATCCTTTGTTTGTTCTCGCTGCCGGAATCTGATCTTCGGCACTCGCTGCAGCTGCTTGACCAAGCCGCTGGGTCTGATAGCGTTGCTTGTCGTCCTTTTGATTTTGCATTTTGCAGAAAGAAAAAAGTTTGATCAAGCTTGCGAGGCATAACACAGAGACGAACCTCTATTGCGGTAAAGCTCACGAGAATTCGCATCAACCTGACAAGGCGGCCTTTTAGCGTTTCCCGCAGACAGAAATCCGTTGGGACGAGTTATCCACTTCCCGGCGGAGTTGTCATCCACACACACCGAGACGATCCCGCCCCACGATCTTCCTGTCCTTTTTCTGAGGGCGGCCCTGTCTGGACTCTCTGTACGACAGACTTCTCCCCCCGGCTGCCCGGGGGCGGATATTTGACTCGCGCCAACGAGCGTGACCTTCGACCAGAAAGGGACAAGCCTTGCTCGATCTTCAATCCCATTCCCCGTATTGTCTGCTCTCTTCGGGGTCAGTAGACTGTCAGCAATCAATCAAGCAAGTGAAGAGAGTCGGCGCCAGTGCCTGCCTATGTGTCGGAGCTCCGGCCGGTGAGCGACGGACAAAGGAATCCATCGCCCCACATTGGCGTTCTGTTTGCTGCCCTTGCGCAAAAGGTGGGCAAGCGTCTAGGAGAGGGTGAGAGAGTCGAGAACCGTGAGCGAGCGCAAGCGCAAGGTAGAGCTGGCCAACGCTCCCTTCTTCCCTCCTCCTCCTACTTCTCCTCCTGTCTCTGACTAGAGTAAAGAGGTGGCCGACCTTTTATCATTCTCCTCGGCTCCTCGTCTCCTCTCTTCCCTCCTGCTCTCGCGTTTATCTTCGCTCTTCGCCCTCTTCTCAAGCACCCGAATCTTCACTCTTCGGTCCCGAACAACCTGGCTCTTTTCTTTACCTTGCAGCACCGAGACTTCATCAAAGGAACGACTACTACTATACCACTACTCGCATACACATACACGCCTTAAGCGCCAAACAAGCGGCCCTACGTACCTACACAATGCCAAGCGCTACATCGCCGCCGCCGGGCCCTGACCCCACCCTCCACCTCCCGCGTATCCTCTGCCTCCACGGCGGCGGCGTCAACGCCTCCGTCTTCAAGGTCCAGTGCCGCGCCCTCATCTCCCGTCTCAAGAACAGCTTCCGTCTCGTCTTCGTCGACGGACCCTTCATGTGCGCCCCTCACCACGACATCGTCTCCGTCTATGGCGACTATGGTCCCTTCCGCCGCTGGCTCCGTTGGCTTCCTGAGCACCAGGCCGTAGACGCCGAGACGGCGTCCGCCGAGATCCACTTCCAGCTACGCATGGCAATGGACGACGACGACGCCATCGGCGCGACGGGGGAGTGGGTGGGGTTGCTGGGATTCAGCCAGGGGGCCAAGATCAGTGCCAGCTTGATGTACACGCAACAACAGCTGAAGAAGAAGTACGGCAAGCGCATCACGTCGGCGGGCGGCTCAGCAGACTGGAAGTTTGGCGTGCTGCTCGCGGGCAGAGCGCCGTTGATTGTACTCGACGACAGGTTAGAAGTGCCGCAGGGTGTTGGCGACGCAGCTGAGGCGAGCGTCGAGTTCCACGACTGGCCGACAGGCCCTGGAACGGACCACGTCTTGAAGCTGCCGACGATTCACGTCCACGGCATGAAGGATGCTGGGTTAGACCATCACCGGGTGTTGCTCAAGCAGTATTGCCAACCGGGTACGACACGATTGGTCGAATGGGACGGTGCTCACCGCGTGCCTATCAAGACATGGGACGTGGAAGCGGTCGCGACACAGATTCTCGATCTCGGAAGGGATCTGGGAATCGTGAGGGAGGAGATTGAGGTATAGACTTTGGCGCGCGCTGCATAGCATTTTGGCGGAATTGTTGGAGTACCCATTTACGTTTTTTTCCATATTTTCCACTGGATATCTTGATGAAAGCATACATAGATCTTTTGAGAATACCAAAATCTGTAATTTTTCTGTTCAAACATATCGCACCCGCCAGTTCATCATCATGATTAGCGATGTGAACCATTTGGGCACTCAGTCACGCGTGGTATATACGCCGGTCGGCATGGCGTGGTACCCCCTCTTGCCAACCGCATGCGTCAGCTCGCTCCTCCAATCCTCCCCCCTCGCAAGCCTCTCGACAACTTTCTCCATCGTCCACTGAGGCCTCCATCCGAGCTCCCTGACCGCCTTGGAGGAATCGTACACCCGGTCCAGCCTGTCGAGGAACGTCCATCCGAGCTTCTCAAACACGGCCGCGCACCCGGGCACGGCCTCCGCGACAACGGCGCCCGCGTCCGAGTCCAAGCGGCGTAGGAGCGTCGAGCGGGCGGTCTCGCCGTCGTCATTCGTGGCAGCAGCAGTAGCAGCAACAAAGGGCGGCGGCGCAGAGATGATATACTTCCCGAATCCGATCTTCCCGGCCTTTTCCATCCCGCACACGACGGCCGAGACGACGTCAGCAATGTCTACCCGCCGGTAGGCCAGCTCGCAGACTTTGAGGTTCGCGTCGTCGGGCATGGCGGTGCGGCGGTCCTCGTCGTCGTCTGGTTCCGGGAAGAAGCGGGACGTGCGGAGGACGAGGACCGGTAAGGATGTCTGGCGGTGGACTAAACTGCAGAGGTCCTCTGCCGCGCATTTTGTTACGCCGTAGATGTTTTTGGGCAGGGGCGTGACGGTTTCGGTTATCCAGGCTGCGGGTTGGCCTGGTGCTGGGGCTAAGGCGCGGCCAAAGGTTGAGGTTGTCGAGATGAAGAGGAATGATTTGATGCGGTTCTTATGGGCGGCTGCTTCTTCGAGGAGGACGAGGGTGCCGGTGATGTTTGTGTCGATGAAGGCTGATTTCGGGTGGGAGTCGACGTGGGGCTTGTGGAGGGTTGCCGCGTGGACGATGTGTGTTATGGACGAGTTGTCTGCGAGGATGGAGGCTATGAGGGCGCGGTCTGTGATGGAGCCGAGTGTTGTTGTCGTTGGGGAGGGGAGGATGTCGATGCCGTGGGGGACGTGGCCTAGGGATGGGAGGGAGAGCATTAAGGCTGCCCCGAGGTGGCCGGCGGAGCCTGTTACGAGGACGGTGTAGGGTGAGGCCATTGCTTTTAGGATGTCCAGAGGTTTTGGGTGAGTTTTGGGATTCAATGGGTGATGGTTTCGTGAGGTTTTGTTGATGTGGTGGATGAAGGTATTTAGAGTCTCAGTGTTAGTCGTAGTGGGGGTGAGTCATTGGTCCTTCGTTGAGTCTACGCCGAGCGGGAGGGGCGCACGACTAGCTGTTAGGGACATCTCAGTTGGCCACCCAAGACTATGCATTGACTGATTGATCCCTGCGATTATTGGCGATTGATTTCTGCAATTATGTCTGAATGCTGTCTATTCAACTCGTCGTATGTATGAAGATGTCAATTGGCGATGTACATCTTGAGGTCGTAATTGATGTTGTCCTTGGAGCATACCAACCACCCCAATATCACTTATCAATTTCCATTGACCTAAGAATAGAAATGTTACTGTTCCAATCCACTGTGAGTAATCAAACATGAGTTTGGAATTAACATCACGCCAACTCCCCTTTGATAATACGGTCAGTCGAGGAACATGCTCTCGGGAAATCCTGTGAAGTCTCTTGCGACGACTTGCCAATATAATCGATGTAAAGTTAGGCCGAGATCCAATCGATGCATTAGTTACTGCCCACACAGAACACACATAACGAGCAGTGAAGTGACTCATTCCAAGAACGCATCCTCGACATCACCCGCCTCCAGCCGTCGCACCCTCACCTTCAAACCCCCCTTGGGCCTCAGAACAGGACTAGGATTAACAAACTCGATATCCTCAGGATCCACCGGGGCTTCAAACTTGAAATTACTTAAAATCGCCATGAAGAGCACCTTGATCTCAATCAGCGCGAACCCCTTTCCGATACACTGCCTCGGCCCAGCCAAAAACGTCGCAAAGGCAAGCGGGTTGCTCGCGGGCGTCCCCTCGAGCCGGTCCCAGCGGTCCGGGTCAAAGACATCCACGTCCTCGCCCCAGATGCGTTTGTTCCGTGTGACGAGGGCTGGGAACATGTAGAGCGGGGTGCCCTTGGGGATAAATGTGCCGCCGACGGTGACGTCCTCGACAGGTTCGCGGGCGGCGAGGACGCCCGGTGCGTAGAAGCGGAGGATCTCGCGCGTGAGGTTGTCGATGAAGGGCAGACCCTCTTCGAGATCGAGATAGTCCGGCGTCGGGTTCTTCTTGAGGAGACGCAAAACTTCGGCCCTGGCGCGCGTTTGAATTTGCGGATAGAGCGTGAAGATGTGCGTGCCCCAGGTCAGCGTCGTGGCGGAGGTCTCGTGGCCTGCAACCATCATGTTGAGGCAGTTTTCGAGGATTTCGTCTTCGGACCAGGGTTCCTTGATGGACCTGGATTCGAGGATCATGTGCGTTAGGAGATCGGGTCTGTCGCGGGTCTTTTCCGCGCCTTTACCATCACCACCGCTGCCACCCGGGACCTCGTCGATTTCCGCGAAGCGCTCACGAATGACTTCTCTTATGCGCGAGCGGACGCCGCCGCTGCAGGCGTTGAAGACGCGGTTCTCTTCGAAAGGGAGCGAGCGGGTTCCTGGAACGTAGGCGTTCATGACCATGAGGATGCCGCCGAAGAGGGACGGATCGAACATCCGGTGGTAGGCTTGGTGGAAGAAGGAGTGGGTTAGGGTTGCTTGGAGGTCGATGCCGAGGGTCCACCATGCTATGATGTCGACTGTGACGCGGCTGAAGGCTTGGGACACTGTTTTTACGTGAACAGGCTAGATTAGCAAGAGGAATGTCGAGGCGAGACTTGGTACCAGCCGACCGAGTCAGACTTCTTGAGGCCAGACTTACTGTCTACGGTGCCCTCTTGAGACTTAATCTCCTTATCAAAGAGTTGAACGAGCTCTTTTGCTTTGCTTTGGAAGAGTGGGATCGCCTTCTTGACCTTGGTGAGAGAAAACGAGGCTGCCAGATTGTAGTTAGTTATGGATGAGTTCATAAACAGTAGCACAAGGTCCGTGTGATGAAATGCTGAGGGACAACTTACGCGATAGTAACTTTCTCTGGGCCTTGTGCAAGTCTCCTTCAGCAAACACCATCCCAGTCCCCGTCACTTGCACAATGATGCGGGTATTAAACTGCGCCTTGATAAACGAATAGCTCTTTGTCTGAAAGACCTCTTTGAAGACTTCTAGGTCATTGATGATGAGGCAGTCTGAGTTGCCGAAGCCGGTGAACTTGATAAGCGGCTCGTTTGGCCATTGCCGCGTCCATGAGAGATACGGCTCGATGGGGTTCCCTGACCTGGCCTGATTTATGAGGTCGCCGACAAGGAAGTGGTGGTCCTGGTCACATGCGTTAGAAATAATGTAATGCGTCTCAAAACAGGTTGTGTCGTTGTTCCTACCTTTGGTCCTGGGAGGTGTCTGAGAGGAGAGAAGAAGTACGGGTAGATGAAGAGGTAGTACACTGCCCTGATAATGTGCCGCGCCACGAGCAGAGCGATCAAGTAACGAGCGGCGGTCTGCAATAAAGACTCACGTAGAGTCGTCAGAAAAGACAGAGCGCCCAGAGCGAGAAGCTCATGGTACCAAGTTGGCTTCAAAGACTCCATCGTGACATGAGATTCAGCAAGTCAGTTGCCAGACTGGTCGGGTAAATGAGGTGCCACAGAGGTAGGAAGGGTATTAGGGTAGTAAATGTAACATCACGCAAAGATGTGGAGAATCGTGCCATTGATAAGAAATCGGAAAGATAAATCAATTCTTCATTGACCATGGGTGCAGAAAGAAACCCTGTTGCTTGTGCCGCAACTGCTTCGGTAACTAGGTTAGTTCCAACAACCCGGAAAACACACAAAACACATCCAACGGACGGCGATTTCCCCCACACTGTTTGCCCTACCGTTTGAAAATTTAAGAAGCAACAAACACGCACCACCAATGAGGTTCTTGGTCTACAAGATATTCAATGCTCGGAGTTATCGTTCTCTTTTACTAGTATCTTGCAAGTGATTACTGAGCCTGTTTAGGAGTTAAATCTGTGAGTTGTACCGGGTAACAAAGAACGCTGGAAACGTCTCGTGGGAACGCCCACCCATGCAACATCCTTGCTCAAGTACTGAGCTATGAACGAAATAGGAAAATGCTTTTCGATTCGCGGGATTTATCCACAGCGGGTTCTTGTTTGTTGTGTTCAAAGCCAACGTTGTGGCAACCAATCGGACAGCATCAGTTTGTCAGAGACGATCTCACGATCGAGGCATCTAGTGTAGAGTCTTTCTCAATTTACGGCCTTTACGCGCTATGAAAGCGCTCTGAAAGAAGATGACTTATGTGCTGACCAGCAGACCATTCCATCAACTAGTTGAGAGGCTTTTAGCAGCCAGACGTTGATGTATGGCACTCTAATAGCTCGTACCATATTGTGAGAAATGAGGTACTAAGGTTGGCTTGGGCCTTTCGATCTCAATGATTTGGTACAGCAGTCGAAGAGGAGATAGCCACATCTTTGTGCATGATGCACATGAACCCCCACGGTCGTCTCCTTTCAACGCTTCATGGCGACGGCATTCCACTGACCACCCCCAAGAGGTCCTACAACGATGAGAGTGAAAAAGCGTTGCCTCTCCAATACGAACATGGCTCTTCTTCAAGCCTTTCGATCTGGAACGCTATGAACCAGCATGAGGCCGATAGGGGAAACTGGAGACACTAGTCAGCATGATGGTAAACGACAGACATGTCATTTAGAAGGTTCAAAATTGCAGTGAAGCTTATGCCACGCACCTTACATTAGCGGCGAGTGCACGCAGCTTAAGT